CAGCTCCACTTGCTACCACTGGAGAAACTAATAATGTTTTATGGTACCCCGACTCTGATCCTTTAAAGGATTTTAAAGGAATTTAGAATTCCATGACAATCTAGGTGTCCCCAAAATAGATTTTTAAGGACTCTTTTGAAATCTAGGTATCCTCAATTATTCCATGAATTTATATTATTATTGATTTGAACTGACTGTGATGGATTTCATATCCAAACTAACGCACACACCATTCCACACACAATCCCACCGACCCCCTCAGATTTCAAATGTGGAAGCTATCACACACTTCTCCATCTCTTTCATGTCCTCTTCTTCTTGCGCCATAGTTGTCAGGAATTGGCCGCTACTTCCAACCAAAGGGAGGAAGATGGCTAGGTGAGTCCCCGTCACTGACTATACTCTCCATGGACGATAGACAAGGCGATGGTAGCTATCTGAAATTCCCATTTGAGATGAAGGAGGCGACGATCGAGCAGGCGTCTGCAACGTTGGTCTCTAACCAGACTAGGAGGCGATGTCGATGGTGATCAGTGGTTGTCGCCGGCTAGTCGCTGCAAGACTCCATAAGGAAGTCGCCGCATCACTCATGTGCTTCTGCGGGAAGTATGTGGTTTTGCATATGAAATTGAGGTGAAAGGAAGTTCACGCAGTGCGTCTCCAAATCAGGGAGCTTTTTGTTTTTTGGAAAGATCCAAATCAGGGAGCTAAATCCACAAAAAACAATATAATTCTGCCATATTGAAATCCATGCGATTCTACAAGAGTCTTGTAAAATTCCATTAAAATCCATGTAATCCACAATCTCTAAAAATTCATCCAACTCATTGTTGAGGATACCCCCTAAATCTCCTTATACTGGTCCTATTTCAGTTGGTGTTGCTAATGGTACTCAACTTCCTGTTAAACATAGTGGTAATGTTCATTTAAATTCATCTCACCGTCCTCTTGTCTTTAAATCTGTTTATCACGTGCCTCAAATTAAATTAAATTAAATTTCCATTCACAAACTTTGTGTTGATAAAAACAACGATAGTATATTGTTACTTTTGATTAAAAAAATATTTTTTATTAAGGACAAAATTTCGGGGGAGATCATCCTTCAAGCACCTAGTAGTGGTCACCTATATCCTGTCAACCATATAGTAGAAGTATACATAACTCTTCTTTTGCTTTATCATCAGTCACTATTCCTGGTCCAGTCTTTGGCATCATAGATTAGGTCGTTGTGGTGACACTACTTTACGTCTTTTAAGTAGTCAAAAACATATTTGTGGTAGATCTAGTTTTTCCCATGAGTATATTGTACTTCATGCCGGCTTGGCAACTCACAATGCTTGCTTTTTTTGGATGCTATGCATACTTCTACTAGACCTTTACAATTAATTCATTCTGATGTTTGACAATCTCTTGTTATTTCTAATTTAGGTTTTAAATTTGTTTCATTGATAATTAACTATTCTTGTTTCACTTCGCTCTATCCTATGCGCAGAAAGAATAAAGTTATTTCTCACTTTAAAATTTTAAAACTTTGGTTTAAAATATTTTTAATTGTAAAATTATAATTTTTCAAAGTGATGGAGAGTGTGAATTTGTTAATTCTCATATGCAACAATTATTTTCTGAACACAATATTTATTTAAGAAAATTATGTCCTGACACTTTCCTACAAAATGGGGTTGCTGAACACTAATAATATACCTATTTTAGGAATATAAGTGTATTCTGGAAACTACTACATATGTCATGTCTCCTTAAGGAGCAACCTTTCCCATTTTCACATGGTATCAGAGCAGGAAAACAAGGTGGTAGTTAAAGAGGGAGTGAATTCCTCTATATATTGGTTGATTGATATATACCTTATATATTATAAAACCATAAATGTTTTGTTTTTGATTTTGCGCAATTCTATATTGAATTTTATATTTATATATTTAGATAAGTAACATTTTTAATTCTACTAAACTACTTATCTTCATTTTTTTATTTGTTTGACTAATTTCAAAGGTGGAGGGCCCCGCCTTGTACATCTCAATCAACACCATGTTGATTTAGGATGTGAATGATTTTGCTTATATACCTTATACATTATAAAACATAAATGTTTTGTTTCTGATTTTGCGCAATTCTATATTGAATTATATATTTATATATTTAGATAAGTAACATTTTTAATTCTACTAAACTACTTATCTTCATTTTTTTATTTGTTTGACTAATTTCAAAGGTGGAGGGCCCCGCCTTGTACAACTCAATCAGCACCATGTTCAGAAAAAGCAACTCAATAGGCATATATCTTGCATGACTAGATTTTAGGATGTACATGATATTTAGAATGTTTTTAATTGAACTGATTTCTATCTAGATAGATTCAAACAAACTATACCAGATCAGACTAAACTAGATTTAAATAATAATAGTAGAAATACACATTTATCGGTCGTTCACCAGATCTGACTAGTTTTTTTTTTTTAATTTTACATATATAATATTTGTTGGTCCCTGTTTTTCTACTCTAAAATGTATGGAAGATTGATCAAATAACAAAGTTGAAGTTTCCCATTGTGAAGAAGGTTTTTACAGAATGATTAAGAACAAACTTAGTGTAAAACCTCTTATGTGAATAAAGCTACTTAATGAGAGAAGTGTTGAGTCCCATGCAATCACAACCTTTTAAACTTCAAAGCTTGGAGGAGATATGAGCGGGGCATTGGAAGCTCTCATTGTCATCACGACATCCATTTTAGTGTGTGGCGGACTCTATTATCTTTGGCTCAACAGGCATTTGAACTTTTCGATGGTTATTGTGTTTATCTACTGTGTTACTTGGGGAATGAGCGTTGTGATGGATGGTGTCACCGCTGATAGATGGACATGGCTTCGTCTGTCACTCTCCACAACTTTGTCAACTTTGGTGGGCTGATCATGTGGAAGTCCATGAAAAGACAGGCGATAATGCGAATCTATAAAAAAAGAAATTGTGATTTAGAGCATCATGGCAGGGCTTAGTCTCGGCGAGTTGTTCTATTTACTGTATCAGACGGGTTTTCTATCTGCTGATGCTCCGGACGAGTGGCTCGAGACGTTTAGCAGGTACGACAAGATCTACTCCGTAGCAATCGGTCTGGTAACGATTTGGGATTGGTGGTGGACCAAATCCTTTGATTTTCACGCCGAGAAATGCTACTTCTCTCAAAGGCAAATTCGACAGATTTGTTACTGAAGCTATACTTACTTTGAAAATTCCACATAAGGAGAGGGGGATTGGGAAGGGGCCGGAGCATTGGGCATATGTCTAGGGGTTAATTTTCTAGGATATTCTGTATCACTGGGTAGTGGTGCTCTGTTATTTTCAGTGCTTTGAATCGATATATATGTCACTGATCAATGAAAGAGAGAAGTGTTGAGTCCCTATGATCACTCTCCCTTTAACTACCACCTTGTCCTCAGGGTGGGCAATAGGAAACTAATCTGCATTTGGGTTATCTGTTACTTCCAAATTGAATTTGATAATTCTCATATGTAACAATTTTTTTATCACGTTTTTATTTCAGAAAACCCCGCCTTAACACTCCCCAACAAAATGGGGTTGCTGAACTCTAATAATATACCTATTCTAGGAATATTTGTGTATTTTGGAAACTACTCTTTTATTATAAAATTATTTGTCATGGATCCTTAGGGAGTAACACTCCCCATTATTTCGCATGGTATCAGAGCAGAAAAACAAAATCCTCTAAAAAAAATCCCATTTTTCCATAACAATGGCTACCACCTCATCTATAATGGATGTCTCTGCGCCGACGTCCACGTTTGCGCCCTCTACGGCGGCACTGACGGCTGTAATTGCATCTTCCTCTTCGTCATCAAACATGGTCAGCACATCCTTCTCTGCACCGATGTCCTTTGCTCCTGCGTTATCATCGTCTTCTATTGGAATTGACCACGCTGGATGGATGCCACCTTTGTTCCCTTAGCTTGGAGTTCTGCGGTGCCAACTCTGCAACCCTCATCTTCGTCGAGACCTCCCTTCCTCGATCACAACATCGTCTCTCTCCAACTGTCCCAGCTCTTTTTCATGGTTCCCCAACTTACTGGTGCTCCAGGCGTTGTCAATTAGAGTCATACTACACTTAGTCTTGAAGCAGTCTTTGGAAGCAATGATCTAATTTCTTCATGGTTGGTCATGTCCCCTGCAAATCTGCCAAGGTCCTTTTTTTTTGCTCCACTTTTCCCGGTTCCCCTAGTGTTATTCGATTGGTGACTCACACCCCTGTGTTCGGCTTCCCCATGGCTTCTCTCGCACAATCCCTCTCTCATGTCTCCGCCAATGTCACACAGATTGCTACTACTAAGCTGAAAGCTGTTGAAGATTATCTCATATGGCAGACTCAATTTGAGTCATTCTTGGTGTCCCGGGGTCTCTTTGGTATGGTTGATGGCTCCATTCAGGTACACTCCATGTACATCATTGATTTTAATAATCACCAAATTGTTAATATTGAGTAATATATATCACTGTCTGAGAGTATATCAAACAATTAGATCTTGGTTATTTACTACACTTTCCGATGATGTCCTCATTGATGTACATGATGCTAAGAATTCGTTTGGTATGTGGGATAGACTACAAACACGATTCATGTCTGTTAGTTTAGCTCGTTATAAGGAACTTAAGCGTATGCTATCTCACATTTAAAAAAAACAAGACTCAATCTATGGAACATTGTTTATGGGATATTAAGATTTTGGCTGATACAATTGCAGCTATTAATTCTCCTGTGTATGATTTGGAATTGCTTTAGTACACCTTGTTGGGTTTGGGGCCTAAATATGAGTCTATTGTTATTGTTGTCTCTTTGTTTCCCCACAATTTCCCTCCACACATTCTACATCCCAAAATACTAGAATAGGAGCAGCGGGTGTTATTTGTCCGCTAGCAAGACTCAGTTAGCTTTCATCAGGCATTTTAAGCCACGATTGCTCATGGAAAATAGCAGGCCGCAACACCTCGCGGGCATGAAGGCCGCGGTCACCACAGTCGAGGTCAAGGGGGACGTGGCAAAGGGCGTTTTCAGGCCCATGGACAACAACAGTTCGCCCCGACACGTGCATCTGGGTTTGGCCAGACCATAGGGTGTGCGGCAGCCCCTAGACACCCCACTAATGGTACTACTGGTAATCCTCTTTTGTCACATTTAAATACTAATGTCTTATCCATTTGTGGTACTAACTCTGGTTCTGCAGGCTTTCTATCAACTGAGGCCTGAGGGTATTCTTGGGTCCATTCCACCTCATGTTGTCTGTCAAATATATTTTTGTGCAGGTCACTCGGCTATCCACTGTACGCCTAGGTTCACTTAGACGTCTGCATCAGCTCTTCAGGGTCCCATTGGTGCCACTAATGATTCTTTGTGGTATCCTCATTTTTGTGGTATCTTGATTCTGGTGCATCATCTCACATGGCTTCTTCCAAAGGTATTTTAGTTAATAAATCTCCTTATGTTGTCTCATCTGTTAGTGTTGATAATGGTACCCAATTTCCTATTTAGAATATTGGTGATGCTCATTTAAATTCCTCTAACTGCCCAGTCTTATTAAAATATGTTTATCATGTGCCTCAAATTAAATTTAACTTCACAGTCTTTTTAATGATAACAATTGTATTGTTATTTTTTATAAAAAAATCCTTTTTTTGTTAAGCACAAAATTTTGGGGGCAGTCCTTCTTCAAACACCCAGTAGTGGTCATCTCTATTATGTCATCCAGTGTCCTTCTCTAGCCTTATCTTTCGTCACTACTACCGGTCCAGTCTGACATCGTAAATTAGATCATTGTGGAGACATTATTTTACGTCTTTTAAGTAGCCAAAAACACATTTGTAGTAGCTCTAGTTTTTCTCATGATTGTACTTCTTGCCGACTAGGCAAATCACACTGATTACCTTTTTCAGATGCTAGTTATGTTTGTACTATGCCCTTACAATTAATTCATTCTGATATTTGGCAATCTCATGGTTTATCTAGTCTGGGATTTAAATATTATATTTGTTTTATTTAAATATTTGCGGTTACCTTCTCATCTTCTTTCTGGAATTTCTCCATATGAAAAATGTATCACCACACCTGAGACTACTCCTTTCTACGTGGTTTTGGATGTTCATGTTTTCCTAACTTTTCTGCTTCTTCTAATAAAATTTGTCCTCAATCTATTTTCATTGTATTTTTCTTGGCTATGCATCTGGGTATAAAGGTTATCGTTGTCTTGAGCCTTAATCTGGATGGTATTTATCAGTCGTCATGTTAGGTTTCATGAAAATAATTTCCCTTTTCCCCCCTTAGTTTCTTCCACACTCACTGCCCTGACAATATATCTTCCACTTCATCTTCTTCAAGTCTCACTAATACCATTCTCCTTACTTTTCCTCATCACATTGCGGTTAACCCTTGCCCCACGTTGCAACCGGTGGTCTCACCTGTGTCTTTTGTTCCCGCCGACACTTCAATGTCCAATGCCTCGCCGATAAGCTACACATTGCTCGCGACCACACTTGTCTCATCCTCACCCGACTCAAACCATATCCAACCCAACCCAATAGCCTCACCCACCTCACCTGGCCCCACTGATCAGTTTCACCCGTCCTTTATCGTCGTTGTCTAGACTGACACGTCCCCAGCCTTGTCCAATTCGTCACCTACCCTGTTGCGCAGTCTGATTCACCACCTTTTCTTAATGTCCATACCATGCAGCTCGGGCCAAATCTAGATTTTTTAAACCCAAAACTATTTTTAATTTAAATACAATTGTTAATTCAGTGGATCCTACTTGTTTTTCCGATGCAAATAAACATTTAATATGGTGAGCGGCTATGTCAGATGAATTTAATGCTCTTATTAGTAATCAGACTCGGGATTTGGTACTGTTGATAATTCTAAAGATGTGGTTGGCTCTAAGTGGATTTATAAGACTAAATATCATTCTGATAGGTCTATCGAGCGCCATAAAGCTTGATTAGTTGCTCCTGGAATTAATCAGCAGGCTGGTTTAGATTTTTCTGAGACTTTTAGTACTGTTACTAAAGACACCACAACCCGTATTGTTTTTACTCTAGCGATTTCTTTTGAGTTGGTTATGCACCAGTTCGATGTCAAAAATGCATTTCTTCATAATCATCCCACTGGGGAGGTTTACATGCGTCAACCGTGGGGTTTTGTTCACCCACAATTTCCTACTCACCTGTGTCGTTTGCGTAAGGCCATTTATGGTCTCAAGTAGGGGGCTTTGTTTCATCGGTTTAGTAGTTTTATGCTTACTCATAATTTTGTAAGTAGTAAGTCTGATCATTTTCTCTTTATTTATCGTTAGGGTGGATCTGTCATTTATTTATCTTGTATGTTGATGATATTATTGTTACTGGTAATTCTCCCTCCGGGGTTTGTTCTTTCATTCGTCTAATTGATACTCACTTTGCACTAGGTTGTTCGTACTTCTACTGTTTTATTTTTGTCTCAGAAAAAATATGTAACTGATCTTCTTGCTCGTTTTAATTTACATACTATTAAGCCTGTGCGCACCCCTCTTGCTACCTGTACTTCTCTTTCCCTCACTAATGGCGAGCTTCTCTCAGATATTACTAAGTATTGCAGTATGGTAAAAGCGTTATAATATGTAATTTTGACACGACCTGATATTACTTATGCAATACATTTAGTGTCTCAGTGTATGCATGCTTCTCATACTACTCACACACTTACCGTCAAGCGCGTGGCTGAATATTTAAAGGGCACGCTTGATCATGGATTGTGGCTACAATCCTCCACTCAGCCTACTTGTATTTTGGCTACTTAAATGCAGATTGGGTTGATTGTCCAGATAGTTCTCATTCTACTACTATATGTGCGGGTTTTTTGGGTCTGAATCTTGTCTCGTGGAAGTCTAAGAAGTAGCCCACTGTCTCTAAATCTTCTACGGAGGCTGAGTATCGTGTTATTGCTTACACTATGCAGGATATCTTTCATATTCATTTTGTTCTGTTCGAACTAGGGTTCCCGATCAAGGTACATGAGACACTGTTATGTGATAACATTTTTGCCAATCATGTTCAGCATGCTAGGAGCAAGCATATCCAGATGTATTTTCATTTTGTCTGAGAGCATGTGGCACACAATGACTTAGTTGTGCGGTATATTCCTACTCATATTCAGTTCACTGGTATCTTCACCAAATGTCTTTCTAGTCAACAATTTCATTTTTAAAGTATAATTTGTGTGTTGCATCTCCTTCGGAATTTGAGGGGGTGTAATAATATACTTAGTTTAGGAATATTTGTGTATTTGACAACTACTGTTTTATTATAAATATATCTGTCAGCACTCCTAAAAAAGTATCATATTCCATTATTTCACACTAATTTTCACTCACTTGACAACTAGTTAGTGTAAAGCTTAACATGTCAACTATTAGAAATGTTGAGAGTAATAATGATATCTTTAACAAAAAAATCGGATTGGACGCCAAATCTTAAAATATTTGGTACTATAGGTTTTGTGCTCTAGTTTTTAACATTGTAATTATACGTAGTAAATAAATTGAGTGGAATTATTGATTTACATTTTCAGTGTAGGATAGAAATGTGAGCGAATGAAGAGCGAGGATAGTAAAAAAGTGCAACATCATAACACCATTTGTAGGGCAAGGTTTTTAGAAGTCTAAAAAATAAAATATGAAAAATGACATTTATATTATTAACAAAGTTTCTTCGGTCAAATATATGGGAACTATAGTGTTTTGCCAAATCAAATTTATATTATTAACAAAGTTTCTTCGATCAAATATATGGGAACTGTAGTGTTTTGCCAAATCAAATCTACGACTTCTTAAATAGGTTAGATCGAATCAAACCAATGAGAAAATCACAAAACATACCAAGCTAGGAGTATTTTTTGGGAAAACTATCAAATAGGCCCTCGTACTATATCAAAAAAGTCAATTAAGCCCCCGAACTAAAACAACACCCAATTAAGCCCTCAAAGTTTACAAAATCGTTCAAATGTGTGATTTACTAAGTTACCTACCGGTAAGCCGGTTATGATGCCTATGTGGAGTCTACAATTTTCAATTAATTCTTTTTCATTAGTTCTTTCCTTCTCTTCTTTATTCTTCATCCACGTGTTCCTTCTTCTTTGAGTTCGTATATCCTACACCCGGGTGTACAGGTACATCCATTTTTTTTGTAATTAGTAGGCTGAAATGTTTCCTTATCCAGCCGCTTGCACTACTCCGCCCAGTACTCCACTCGTCCTTATCCAGCCGTACTCCACTCAATCCCAGCCAGTTCATGCACGTCTTCATTTATTGTTTTTTTTTTGCTTATTCAATTCTCGTTTCTTCTTTTGTTTTCTTTTATTGTTTGTTCTCTTTTTTTATTTTAACAACCTTCTATTTTAATGTTATATTCAATTATTATGAAAATGTAAAATATAAAATATTATTAAATATTTCAGATTACTTTTTTCTTTCTCCAATCAAACTTCCAGCTTAAGTTTTTTATTTATCTATTATAAAATATTTTATTTATTAATGTTTTATTTCTCTATTTTTAATTTAAGATGAATATTTATTAGTTTAATAAATATTGTGTGATAGTTACAAACATGAGTTTTGTGTTATACTAAAGTGAGTATGGTGTAAAATAAGTATGCATGAGTAAAAAATTATAAAAAGAACTCGATTATATTTGTAATTCGAGAACAAACGACTATAAATGATTTTTTATATAAATTATTTCATTGCCATCATGTGTGCACAAATGAACATTTGAACACATTAGGAAATTCAAACAAGCTTTTGATTTTTGATGCACATTTTGTAAGTTGTGTATGCTCATTTGGTGCTGATTTTATGCTCATTTTAAAATGTCATATTAATTCATATTTCAAAATTATCATATTAGATTCGCATAAGATTTAAATTATATACATGGAAGTAAAGATAATCATGATACGCAATTGCATGTTTTTGATACTCAATAAAGGGAGTTTGATGTTCAATGAAAATGTCTTGATGCTTAACTAATCAAGCTTATGATTTTCATATCATTGCTCATTTGGTAAGTAATGTATGCTCATTTTGTATTGGTGTTATGCTCAATTTAAAATGTTATATCAATGCATATCTCAAAATAATTAGACTCCTAATACTCAACATAATAGGTTTGATGCTCATTAAAATTGCATCAACGCTCATTCACCAGAAACCGTGACATGCGAATTTAATGTAATACGACACTTTTTAAATATGCATTGATATGACGTTTTACATATGAGCATAAAATCAATACCAAATGAGATTATGTGACTTACATTTATATGAAAACTGTAAAGTTTGTTAGTTGAAAATCACGACATTCATGGTTTCTATTAAATGAGCATTAATGAACTTTTACTGAGCATCTGACCAATTCTGTTGAGTATTAAGAGTCTGATATTGAGCATCGAGATCTCTGCTTCATATCTTATATTCACTTTCTTTTTCTTATTTTTTCTTTTATAATAATTATTAAAGTATATCTATAATCAACTCCTATGAAACTTCAATATGTGAATATAATGTAATATAGTACATTTGAAATATACATTGATATGACATTTTAAAAATGAGCATATATGAGTATATATTGAGCATATGTAACTTACAAAATGAGCATTGATATGAAAATCATAAGTTTTTTTAATTGAGGATCAAGACATTTTCATTGAGCATCAAATCTCTTCCTTGAATATTAGAAACATGTAATCGAGTATCAAGGCATGTGCTCAATCTAGTATGCATTGATATAATTAACATTTTAAAATGAGCATAAATCCGTACCAAATGAGCATAAATCAAGTACCAAATGAGCACACAAAATGTACCAAATGAGTAATAATATGAAAATCATAAACTTTGTTATTTGAGCATCAAGACATTTTTCATTAAACATCAAACCTCTTCTATTGAGTATTAGAAGCATGGAATTTAGTATCATGATCTATGCCCCCATGTGAATCTAATATGAAACTTTTGAAATATACATTAATATGACATTATAAAATGAGCACAAAACCAGTTTCAGATGAACATGCGTAACTTATAAAATGAGCATAAAAAAGTTCAAAAACTCATTTGAATTCTCTAATGTGCGTAAATGTTCACTTTTGCACATGCATCATAATGACAAACATATTTATTTTACATTATACTCATTTTAGTATAACACGAAACTCATGTTAGTAATTAGCACATACGAAGTAATATTTAATAAACTAATAAATATTCTTCTTAAATCAATAAAGAAAAATAATAAAATAATACTTTAAATATTCATCAGAAATTGAAAATTTGAAATCAATGAATAAGGTGGTTAAAAAAATGGAAAAGGACTTGAAAAAGAAACAAAAAAATCTATGTAAAAGGTAAAAGAAAATAGACGTAGTGCTCCCTCCACTCACGCAATCCACTTAGGAGTTTCGAAGAATTAAGTTGGCCTGCTAGATTAAAGAGGCGTAGCCCACTTACCAAGCCAGGGAAGAACACACGGCCGGAAGAATCGTCACATAATTACAAATTGCCTTCTTCTTTCTTTCTTATTGCCTTTTCCTCCATTATTTTCTTTCTTTTTCTTTGAGTAACGTACGTCGGTGTTCAGGGGAGTAGAAGAACCGGCTAGAAAGGAGAAATACTTGGGAAGCAGCTCTTCAGCTTCTTCAAAGGAGACGGAGACGCAGCTCGTCGTCGGCCTCTCGAGTGACCAGAACACAGTAGCTAGCTAGTACACTAATTGGGGGCTGAAGGATCCGGCAAGCCGGCAGCCCGACCATTGAGGAGATATCCAATATCCAAACACAGCTAATTTAGTCTCTTAAACCCCTCCTAAAACCATGGAAACCTAAGTCCTAAACGAATCCCAACCTGAGATTAACACATTGTTCAACCAAATGTTGACGTTCTTCTCATCAGCAACCAGAAATTCAATCCTTTCTAAAACCCTGAAATTCCCAACTCCCGAATATCTCATTTCCCATTTTCACAGCATAAGCCGGGTCTCCAACCCTGCAATCCAGTTCATTCTCGAAGAAGCTGAGGAAGACTTCCCGTCCTCCCGGGAGCCTATTCAGTCATCTCCCTTTGGGAATGGCGAGATTCCAAGATCTAGAGAATCTGGTTCCGGAGTTCAGATATCTCACCCATGGCCGGAGTGGATTGACTTAATGAAAAAGTTACTAAAGAATGGATATTTCTCCGGCGACGGCAATCCATTTCCCAGAAACAACGAGTCGGGCATCAAGGACTCAAACCAAATACGCACTGCTTGTCTGAACTTCGCTCGTGATCAGTTTGATCTTGTGAGGTGATGATAAGTCATACTCGGTCTTTGCATTCGATCTTTCTGAAACTGTTTTGATTCTTTTCAAGTGCATGTGAATCTAACGTTCTTGAGTTAATCGAATTTGACTAACATAAGTAAAAGCCTATGTTTTATGCCATGATGGCCTTATCGCATGCACCCGTATATAATACCATACCTGAGCTTGTTTCACAATCTGCATTGTAGAAACAGGATGTGATAAACGAGTAGTTGTTTCACTACTGAAACGGGCTAGTGTTTATAGCTCCATCCCTGTATTCAAAATTATCCGGGCACACCACTGCAGTCATATGTACTTATAGGTGACATTTTACTCATAATTGACTATCTTATATTGCTACTATTGATAGATTAAATGTGAGTTCCTACAGAAACTCCAGTTAACATCATTTTAGGTATCGGCTCTGTAATCGTTGTAAATATAGTGGCAATTTACTAATTACACAGGCGACCAAGAAGAAGGAACTGTACGCATGCATCTAACCACGGGATTCTCAGATGTCACTCACGAGATCTATGATTTCCTACTAAAAAAATACATTTATGGACAGCAGTAAGCATCCTGAGCTTGATACTAACAATTTGTTACATACCGTCACATTAGGATTTGTTCTAGCAAATCATGTTGCTCTCTCTATACCTATAGTCCAGAACATCACACATTGTATTTGTTACTATATGTCCATGAAATCATGCTCACCTCCTCCTTTGCGGGTCTATTTTGCTATCTTATCGAACAACTGAGTACGAAGGTTTCTATGAAGGAATTGGGGCCCCTCACTTATTTTAGAGGTGTCTCTGTCAAGAGACACATAAGTGGCTTTTTTTACTTCTAAAAAATATGCTTATGAAATATTAGGAATGGCGGGAATGACAATATGCAACTTCTCGTATGCTCCTGTTGAAACTAAATCCAAACTGCAGGTGAGGCGGCCTATATGTGCTAGACCCCATGTTTAGCATGTGGCCTCACATTTACCCGACCTCACATTTCATATGCAGTTCATCAAATCTGTTTATTCATGCATGGTTCTTGGGAACCACTCTACCATGGATTAAAACACATCCCTTTATACGTCAAAGGCACTATCACACATGGCATGGACATCTAACATCCCTGGCTTTGAAATTATTTGGTTACTCCGATGCAGATCGGGCGGCTGCCCGAGCACACGATGATCTACCTCTGGGTGATGTGCTTTTCTCAGTGGCAACCTGGGTTTATGGCCGTCATAGTGTCAGACAACATTATCCCACTCAAGCATAGATAAATATTATCGAAGAGTGGCAAATGTGGTAACCAGAAACATGTTGGCTACGGATTCTTCTGCTTAAGTAGCTTCGCAACTTAATAAAGCTTCATATTATAATTGTGAGAACGTCATTATCATATACGAAGTATATGTTAGGTAACCCCCTCCAGAACCAATGCACGAAACATATTAACATGGATATTTACTTTGTAAGAGAAAAAGTAGCACATGGCAATGTCAATGTATTTCATGTGCTATTCTGATATCAGCACACAAATAATTTTACTAAGGGACTAACATGGCTACTAGCCTGCTATTCAATGAGTTTCGAATCAACCTCAGCGTGTTCCCTGCCTGCTCATAGGGGGGACGTGATAGAATACCTACACTTGTCTCCATATTTGTATTGATTTTTTGTTTTGAGAATTGTACTATTCATTAATAGTATTTAGATATATTCCTAGTCTCATGTTAAAGTTAGAAGTCTTATCATCTTGTAATTATTTTTAACCACCTCCTATTTAAAGATTGCTAATGACAAATGATAAGTTGTGGTGAATTTCACTCTCTAATTTGGACGAGGCAACCAATATTTACCCGGTATCCGACAATGGTCATGTGTCTCACCTCTTCAATAGTGGTTGTTTCCTCCTTGGGCATCATGGATGCATCAAATCGAGGCATTGATACCCATTTATGATGTAACCATCCGTTCATCTAGAACCAGACCATGTAGTCATATACTTTCTTCGCCCCTTATAACTTTGTCAACTTTCTTTTTTTGGGTTATCACAATAACTTTGTCAGTTTCCCTTTTAAATAATGAAATTGTGGTTCCCGTTAATTCATTCTCTGCACAAACTCCAACCACACAGTTTTTACTATATTATTTTACTTGGCAGTAAAATGACTCACTAAACTGTCTGTGCTTCTTTGTTATGAAGCAGCAGTCAGTCCATGCAATTTTGGATGCGATTTTCACTATGGGTCATCCAGAAAAAGTCTCTCTGTGCTTTAGTACAGGGGTAAGACTGCGTACATCCGACCCCCCTTACCCCACCATAGGTGGGAGCCTTTGCGGCACTGGGGTAAATGAAAATGATGATGATTTTACATGGCAGTAAACTTTGGCAAAGTTATGAAGGACGGAGGGAATATTTTATTTTCTTTGTAATTTTAATATATTTAATAGTTTTAATATTTTTGTAAACATACAGTTTATTAGTTTGGGCCTGGACCAGTCATCCTTTGTCGCTATAGTTTGCCCTAAACAAGAGACTTAGTAGTTGGTTTACGGGATCCCCTAAAGCAATTAGTGAATGGGGCATATAAGGGGGTGAATTTAATTTTTTATTAATTCCATTGCTAATTTTTTATTAACTTTTCTTCACAAAAGTTTATTAGTTTAATAAAACTAAATAATATTAAAAATTTTAAAATAAAAAATAATAATAATAATAATAATAATAATAAAGTCCATGAATATATAGGTCCTAGATTGATAGTTTTCAATCATCCGAGTCTTAAATTGATAGTTTTCCATCCTTTGGGTCCTAATACAACTTCAGCAATGTGGCAGAGCTGCCTGTCATTCTACGAATAAGTTTTGTCCAAATACTGATTCAGTATTTTATTGAGTTGGTATCAGGCACATGTCCCGAAAAGATATTCAGGTGATTTCCGAAGCTGGCTGTCCTAGCATTGATAGAAAAGTTGTCAACTCTGGGAAGCGTCTAAGGGCATACCTTGGCATCGACGAGGGAAATGTAGGCTTACAACTTTACCTACTGCACTGGTTTTTCTTCTCCATGAAATGTTTGGACTACTATATAAAGTGTTATGCGGGCCACAATTGGACTTACTAGATAGTTTATTTAGGTATGCAGCTCCTGCATACTGCGTGGAAACTGTGAGAGGGCATATATAAAGGCACGGGAGGATGAAGGTATCGGAAGGACCGTGGATGTCATGCGTTTTCTGCTGACATATGGACTTGATCCAACATGTGGTTCAGTAGAGAACAAGTCACACATGAACAAAAGACTCGAGGAATCAGTAAGAAAGTTACTTAAAGAAATGGTGGAGTTGAGTATAAACGAAGGTGGTGATTATGAAAGTCAGGATGCCTCAAGTGTTGTCAGGTCATCTACGCAAGGCATTGCTGAAAATCATAAAGACAGCACGGTGAATGGTCCAATGAAGCCAGGCGATTGGTTATGCACAAAGTACTTTTGATGAATCTTTATTGCATTTCTCAATTTTAACTCGCTTTCTAGTGCTTGCTAACTTTTCCTGGGTGTGTTCATCTTCTATATCTCTCTCTAGCTGCAATTTCCTAAACTTTGCAAGAAATATCAAGTGCTTAAGATGCAATGGTATATCCCAAGAAAGACTCCATAATCTACGGAGTGAGCAGGACAATCTTCCATTGAAAAAGGGAGACTGGATATGTGACAAGTAATAATACAGCTGTGTGATTTGATAGTTATTATATTATATGCATACATGATGTTTAGCTTCTAAGCTCTGCCAGGAACATAAGGCTATTAACTTATTGCAGGTGTAATTTCTTGAACTTCGCAAAGAATACAAGGTGCTTACAGTGTAAAGAAACCCCTCCAAAGCGAGCACTTCATCCTGGGGAATGGGAATGTGAATCGTAAGTTTTCATTGAGATGTTTTATGCCCGGTCGGCAACCATGTACTTTGGCTTATCAGCCAGTTTTTTTATTTATCCAACACTGTTTTATTTCACGTTCTTAATAGGTTAATAGTGAAAACACTAATATTGAAGCTACTTTATATGCTTAATATATTGAAGATGCAATTTTTAGTTTTATTTAATATGTAGTACTCCCTCCATCCCAAATTGATGGTCCTATACTTTTTGGGCTCGAATACTCCCTCCATCCCAAATTGATGGTCCTATACTTTCTGGGCTCGAATACTCCCTCCGTCCCAATTTGTTTTGCAAAATTTCCTATTTTGGTTGTCCCAAAATGGTTTTCCACTTTCTATTTTAGGTATAAAATAAGAGTAAAGTGACAAATTTACCCTTACTTTTACTATTTTCCATCAACTTCTGGGCATCTACTTTTAGGATGAAGGACAAAAGTGTAAAAAGCAAGCATCATTTATTGTCTTCCTTAATCCTTGTGCCGGTCAAAGTTTGCAATTCAATTCGGGAAGGAGAGAGTATTAAGAAAGAGTGGTATAATGTCCTATATAATCTTACTTTAAATTGTATTGCTCACTCCTTTACTTTTACCCTTCATAAAAAGAAGGGGTGTAAATGGTAATCTACTTTAATTTCTTTACCAACAAGGGAAACATGGCTATCATTTTGGGATACCCTTAATAGGACATATAGGACCATCATTTTGGGACGGAGGTAGTATCATTTTTACATTTACTTTGTTAATAAAATATATTCTATATACTACATCCTTCCCTAAATGATTGTTCACTTTCACCAGGTAAACAAGTCAAACTATTGTGGTGGAGATTTATATACGTAGTACAAAAGAGAGTACTGTGAACTATGTATTGTTTTCCTTAAAAGGAAATGAGCATTACTTTGGGGGGGAAAGTATGTAAATAATTGAGTGACAAAGAAAGTATAATTTTTTCATTATTCAACGTATTCAGCCGATCCAGTCATAACTTTAGCAATTTCAGTAGATTTGGCCTATTTGTCTTAGCAAACAGACTTTTTGCTTTGAGAAATCATATCTAATATATTGCAAATCTTTTAACACCCTTTCTTTGTGTCATTAAATGATATCATAGGTGCAATTACATCAATTTCAAGAGAAACATGGTCTGCTTGAAATGCGATCACAGAAGACCTAGAGCATCGAATTCTATTGGCTCCTCTTTGCATGCATGTCCCAACACTAACAATCGTCTTAGCAGTAGTCCCTATCTTGACAGAGAGAAACAATTCAGAGATGGGGTTAATGAGCCCAATGCTTTCAAGAGTCACAGGCATGAGTTCGTCTCAAGGAATCAAGAGGCCGAATTTGCAGACTTCCCCATTTTAGGAGGTAAAAGTGATATTTCTAGGAATGAACAAAAACGGGAGAAATGGAAAAGGGAGACGATGGAGAGGAGCACAACTGCGGTGAAGTCAAAAGAAGAAGACTTTGAATTTAAGTCTTCCTTTGTTGAAACCAGCAACCATTCACAGTTTCCCAATCATGACGATGAGCAAATGGCCGACTGGTTTGGTCACAAGACTATTCAAAATGACAAAAGATTTTCCCCTTGACTGGAATCTTTACACAATGGCCTACTTTTTAAGCTTCTAACAAGGCAACAATGAAGTGCAGCTATGTGGAGTAAAAGTAGAAGCGGTTCTACACTGCTTGTATAAATGTACAGCGTTAGAACTAGTTGATGCACGTCGTGTTTTGTTTGTTGAAATAAATGCTACAAGGTCTCAAAGATTTGACGTACACGGTGTATGATGTTTGATTTTGGACATGGAGTTATTTGAGAAAGTGGTCCAGCTTAGCTGGTCGTCGACTCACTTCCATAAGTGGTCCAGTTTAGCTGGTCGCCGACTCACTCTCCTTATGGAAGGTCTCGGATTCAAAACTCAATAGGTAGAGTTTCAGTCCAATTTACTTCAGACCCCCAGTCCCCTCCTCCAGACACTCCTGGAGTAAAAAAAAAGGACATGGAGTTATTTATGCGCCATTTTTAGTGCTTTATATTTCTCACGCATTCAATCCACCAATTGTAAAATAAATCGAAGCTTTAATTTAAAACATTATTTATACAGAGCGTATAGATTAAGACTTGAATGTTGTTGTAGAGTTTATAGATAAAAATGTCTTAGCACATATTACCACTTTTACCAATATACTGTCATTGTCACTGTAGTGTGAAACTGAACCTAATTATGGCCAAAGCGATTGCTATTGATGACTATGCATAAAATCACATTTATGCTAATTGTGTTTATTTAAGCAATTCAAAAGTCATATTAATGAGATTTTTCTAGAATGTTACTGAAGTTAAACTCACTGACAAAATGTGACTGCAACTATAAAATGTAAAACACCAAGATTGCTACAGTTTACAATTTCACATCAACGTACACACAAAAATTTATTAATAGTCACCATATTTGTTTACCAGCTTTATGTTAGTAATATATGGCCTTATTTAAAAAAATCATTAAATCATTGATGAACTAAAGCTATGAGTTTATTAACACCGTACCACGATCAACTACAGTTTATAATTGAGCATAACCATAAACTCTAAAATTTAATAATACAGTCACTACATAAAAAATATCACACGTGTGTTCATCTTTATATTAGTAAGATAAGACATCCCCTTACTTAAAGAAATACACTAAAAGTTTATCAAAAATAAAGTATGACTAAAGTCCGTTTCTATAAAAATAACACTATTGAGGAATCAACATGGAAAGACTGGGAAAGGTGAAGAGCAAAGCAAGGGAGAAGACATATCAACGGTCTGCCCCTCTCTTGAACCGCCGCCTTGGAGCGATCGAGGTGCTAGGTTTGGAAAGATTTATCATTTATTTAATTTTTATGGTTTTATTTCTGCGTTATGTTTTACGTTGTTCTGTTTTTTTGTTGATGTCTCTAGTTTTAGGACTACAATAATGATTGACAATTCTGCTAGATATTATGTCTTTAGAAGGATCTATTTGGTCAGTGATTGTTGTGTCACACCCGCTTGGTGGTTAGCGATTCATATTGCTCTTACATGAGTGATCATCTTTGAGTCTAGCCGTAGGGTTGATCGTGCTAGTTGGTTAGAGATAGTTGTTGTTAGTGTTGGTCTTTTTGAGTTTGTTGTAACGATCTGATTCCTAATGATATTAATATAAGCGGTTGTTTTGATGATCAAAAAAAATAAAAATAACACTACTCCATTAAAAACCTTTGGAATAATTATATGTGAGCACAATGCTTTCATTGCCCACTTCTTCACGAAACACTTAATACTTATGCACCTTTGGAATAATAAGTATTGTGTGCACCTTTGATCAAATCAAGTTGTGTACAATTGTACAGTTGTACTCACTAACTATGAAATCTTATCTCCTTAAAAAAACAATGAAATCTTATCATGTACTCTTTTAGATTCAATAAGACTTTAACCCTAATATTGTACCACATTGCGGATTTGGATCCTCTGCCTGGATTTGGCCGCCATGTAGGCTTTGGTTTTTGCAGATCCCGTGCGGCAGAGGATCCTTCATCCTTTTCACGTACTAATGTAACGTTTTGATACTTGCACCTTTAATAAAATACTCCATATAAATAATATTTTCACTTCTGTTTTTGGAAATACAATTCATTACATGTTCTGGTTCGAATTCCCATAATCACCCAAAACTGGAGACCGAAGTTGGACTGCCCGTGACTATGTACAAATCAAATACATTTTTGTTCACTACATTTATTTTAGTAATATGTTGGTCATAGTTTCTTGTGAATTTGATAGAAATACATTTTAAGGTATCCACAATATATATTTAATCAAATTTCAATCAAGTGTAACTCGTGTATTGCCAATTAAATTTAATACCAACCCACCACTGAGAAAGTGAGAAGTAAAGAACAACAGTTTGTGGGAAATTTTGGTCGACAAGTGACAACTTATTCACAGCTATTCTTAAAAATAATAAAATTCACCGCTGGATATCCAATCCACCTCAGTTCGTATACCATGCAACCGTCCCACGGTGCGCATGGTATACCTGGGAGAGTGAAGAAGCAGTTCGTATATTTTGGATTTGTTATTTTTTATTTCTCCTTTTTTTAAAAATGTTAATAATTTTTTTATTTTTGATCCGATTTTTATAAAATTTATATCAAAATTTTTTATTTTTCATGATCTTTCAAATGAGACCAATATTGCCTATGTAATTTTAACATATTAACATTTGCGTGTAAAAATATGTAACTTTACGTGTTAAAATATGTAACTCGCGTTCAGTCAGGCCAAATGCAACTCGTGGGTATAAATATGTAACTTTACGTGTAAAAATATGTAACTTTACTTAAAAAAATATGTAACTCTCGTTCAGACAGGTCAAATGCAACTCGTGTGTATAAATATGTAACTCGCGTGTATAAATATGTAATTTTACGTGTAAAAATATGTAACTTTACGTGTAAATATATGTAACTCGCGTTCAGGCAAGTCAAATGCAACTCGTGTGTATATATATGTAACTCGCGTGTATAAATATGTAACTTTACGTGTAAAAATATGTAACTTCACATATAAAAATATGTAACTCACATGTATAAATACCTAATACAATAAATTTTTTATATACACAATTTTAAGATAAAATGTGATTTACACAATTATTTTTCTGTATTAAATTTAGTTTGGTTTTCTTTATAATCCAATACACATTAATATAATAGTTTGATTATTTCTTAAAATTACATAAGCAATATTGGTCTCATTTGAAAGATCATGAAAAATAAAAAATGTTGATATAAATTTTATAAAAATCGGATCAAAAATAAAAAAGTTATTACCATTTTTTAAAAACAAAGGATAAAAATAAAGAAACAGTCCTCATCAATACTCCGTCGTTTTGCAACCGGGCGCACCATCCTCATGGTGCGCCGGTTGCACGATATAATTTGCGAATCCACCTCAAACAACTCAGACATATCTCTATGCCTGGAAATACCAATATGGATGGATACAACGCTGCTTTAGCACATCAAATTATGAATATAGTGATAAATCATATGGAAATTGTCCTATTAAAATGTTTGTGTTCCAAAATAGGATTATCATATTTTCAATTCCTAAATAGGATTAATTACTATCATATTTTGGGAGTACTAAAGTTTAAACATGATTGTATTTTTCAAATTTGGCAGTAATTACTCTTATTTAAAGAATAAAAACATGAGTCATATTTTAGAATTTTGAAACGTTTTTACTTCTATTGCAGGAATTTTCCCTACATCATATTATTCCAGTTTTTTATACTCCGTATAAAGCAAGGCTGCTGCTTGTCGTCCTATACTCCGTATGTACATTGTACAATGTAAATGAACTTTTGCATGCTCACTAACGATAAGAGGAAGATGAAGAAATGGAGCTTAATCATACACATATCCAACATCATCAAAAAACAAGAAAGAAACAAGGCCCGGAAAGCACAAGCATTTTACATGGCGAAAAGTGAAAGGAAATATATACATGTTCTTGCTCCATGGCAAGATAACATATCACTCTGCGCCTGCTTTCTTTATTATTACTCTTAATCTCTTATTATCATTATTATGGTCCCTCTTTCCTTGCTAAGCATTGACACTCTCATAATCAGAGGCGACGGCTGCCATGACCAGCTCAGGCTGGTGGGTGCCTCCCACTGCTGTTCCATCATCAACTGCATTAGGCATCCCTAGAGCTTTCAGTGCCAGGTGAGCTGCCTTCTGCCCTGATATCATCATTGCTCCAAAGGTAGGCCCCTGACCACCATCATCAATCACTAAATACATGAGTAATTGTACTAATTTTTAAAGTGTCTCACACTCTCACCTCTAACGTTTACCATATCACTAAACAAAACACCTCTTGAGGATCTTCTGGACTGGGTTAGGCCCGATTTAATAGGATATCAAAGTATGGTCTGCTTCAAGTTTGTTTATCTGGCATGCATTAATTGGGGTTGCCCTTTGGGATCAGTTGGGTCTCTTTATCCATCTCACAAATTGTCCTACACTCCTACCGTATTTGGGATGAGGGCCGAGTCAAGTGACCTATATTGTATGCTTATCTTATTTCTAAAATAGATTAGCGTGCTGTAAGCCTCACATCTACATAATCTTTTTCGATGAGTTGCATCTAATTTTTTTGTGGGCAGCACGGTGCACATTGGCAACCCCGCAAGGTGAGGGTCCGGGGAAGGGTCCCACCACAAGGGTGCATGTATAGAGGGCAACCTTCCCTTGTCATTCAAAGGAGAGGCCGTTCTTCAAACATGAACCAATGACCTCTCAACTGTGGGATGAGTTGCAACTAATTGAATATAATTAAATAAATTACCATTCTTGGTGCACCGTCAATCTCTGCAACTTCCATCCCGGTGACAATCATCCCCGGCACAACCTCTCTGGTGAGCCTCACGATCGCATCCTCTGCCTCATTCATATCCAAAGCTTTCATCCCGGGAACCACATCGATCATTCCAATGTCCTTGAGCCTCTTGACCCCTGTGGCCCCAAATGGACCATCGTGCCCACATGAGCTAACCACAACTTTAGCCTCCATAACGTTTGGGTCCATGCATGACTGTGTGTCGTGGTTCATGGACACCAAAGCCCAGTTCGTCACCACCCCGCCCACTCTCCCGCCCTTCACTATCAAGTCCTCCACCGCCACGGCGTTGAACAGTTTCACATTCGGCCTTGCCAACAGCTTACTCATTATGGTTGAGGTGAAGAGGGCTGCATGTTTTATGACCACGTAGGTGTCTTGCTCATCGTACGGCACATCCAGCTCATCCAAGAAGAGGTGTGCTGGCTTGCGGACCACCATCGCTGAAAAGAGTTGCCCCCCAAGCCAAGCCCCTCCTCCCGGGCTCACTGACTGCTCAATTATCGCCACCTACAAACATAAATGTATAAGAGTTGTAAGCATCATTTAACAAATTTTAGAATGACACCAGAGTTAGTCAGTCCATGAGTCACACATGAGTGTGTGGGGATATAACAATAGGTGATGTATGTAGCCTGAACAAAAACCATCTAACCGAAACAGAACCAACCAAAACTGATTCAATTTACCCAAACTAACCAAAAATGATTCAAACCATCAATGATTCGCT